GGAAATCAGCCCTGAGTGCTCACTGGAAGGACAGATCATGAAGCTGAGGCTCCAATACTTTGGCCACCTCATGAGAAGAGAAGACTCCCTGGAAAAGACCCTGATGTTGGGAAAGATGGAGGGCACAAGAAGAAGGGGACGACAGAGGATGAGATGGTTGGACAGTGTTCTCGAAGCTACAAACATGAGTCTGACCAAACTGCGGGAGACAGTGGAAGACAGAAGTGCCTGGCGTGCTCTGGTCCATGGGGTCACGAAGAGTCGGACACGACTAAATGACTAAACAACAACAACAAATAGTCCAAAGGCTATTCATCGGGAAATAAGGATTTGTTTTAAGTTTTTCATGTATGCTAAAACTCAGTCTAAGTTGTTTTTTTAAAAAAAATATCGTTTAACCACATCAGTTAACAAACATGGATACATATGCTATAATGTTATTGTTTTAGTTAAATAAATAGCTTAAATTGTTACTAAAGGTTATTTTTCTCCTTCCAATAAAGTACAGCAGAAAAGTGGTCCAAATATAAACAGTTAACTTATTAAACCTCAAAATAATTTCATAATTATCTGTCTATGTATTTCTAATAGCATAACCAAATCAGTAATTTTTGATGTAACTGTAAAAACTACTCTGAAAATTTATTATTCCAAAAATGAAACCTTCATCTGGTTGTAAACATTAACATACCAGCAAGAATGAGTCTTTCTGAAAAAAGAAAAAAGTTTTAAATCAAGTCTTACTGACTAGTGATTTAAATCGTGATTTGAATCGACTTGATTTAAATCAAATCCACCCTACATGATACGATGAAGTCCCTCGATGCCCATGGAAATGCAAGTTTTACAGAAATCACTGTGCATTGTCACGTCCCCCCTCGCCAACCATCACAAGGAATAACTCATTGTGCTTGACACTCTCTCTCTCTCTCTCTCTCTCTCTCTCTCATTCCCTAACAGGATGTACTTAAAGCTTCATAAAACAATAGATGATAGATAGATAGATAGATAGATAGATAGATAGATAGATAGATATAGATAGATAGATAGATAGATAGATATAGATAGATAGATGATTGATAGATATAGATAGATGATAGATAGATAGATAGATATAGATAGATATAGATAGATGATAGATAGATAGATATAGATAGATGATAGATAGATGATAGATAGATCGATCGATCTCATAGCCAGATTTTTTGGGGGTTGGGGGTGATGGCGAAGTGGAGGGAGAAACAAAGGCATTACTTCTACCGCTGATAAATGAATCACAATTGCTTTCGAGATCTGCAGGCACAAGACCCCTCCTTTAATTCCCTTTTGCAAATGCAGAGACCTATTACAATGTGCTCAATGGTGCCAACGACTGTGCGATTCAGAGGACAAAAATAATAAAATAAAGCATCCGGAATTTGCACAAAGTACTGAATACAAATTACTCGCCACTTCCCTTCTATGGAGCCTGAGCTTCTCGCGGCCAAACACGAAGGAGATTTATGAGGTTCCACAAAAATGCAGTACTGCAATTATTATTTATTCTGAGGTAGCAACCAGCTTCCAGGAAATGTGAAGTTGGTGTAAACATCAACTTGAAGAAATAAACTCCAACTCAAGATGTGGACACCAATCAATTTAAATACGACCCCCCCCTCCTGGTGGACATGTCAGAGTGACACCCTTGCCCCAGCCAACATTGTTAGTGGAAGGTCTTGGCAGGAGCAAAGTTAAAGCAGCCATATGTCTTTGCTGTATGGCATCTGTTCAGTTACACCCAAGAGAGACACCCTTTCAAAGTGTTTGTTATGGCCCAGCTTAAGGGCACGTAAAAAATAAAACAGAAACCGTGGATGTGGTATGGGGAAGAGTCATAATTATTGAGACTGCAGAACTGGAGTTTGACTCCTTCCCTGTTGTTATTAGCACTGGGAGGAAAGTTCTGCCCCCCTTTAAAACAAGTGTTTTTACACACATGCTCTTTCCAATCGATGGATTAACAGATTAAGGGTGTGGTCAGTAAACGAACCATGGCCACTGAAGTCCCATGGAAATTAACAGGACATGAATGAAACAATCGTAATTAACTCAACCTCCTCATTCCAATGGGACTACTAACTAACTTGCTTTCTCTGGAACTAGGCCCATAAGTCAGACTGAGAATGATTTCCATGATCCAACGGCATTCCTAGTGTGCATGTGTTTGTATCTGAATGTGTTACGCATAGGTGTACATGCATATAATTCCAAGAAAACATATCATATTGATACATCACTGATTATCCGTATCTGTGAATATTGTCCTCTCATGGAAAAAACCCCCTGCAATCATTCTAGTGTCCACTGTATGATACATTTCAACTGGTACCACAGAGAGCAGGTGATACAGAGGGGGGGAAATCAGTAAGTGTCATTAATCACAAAAATCTGATTGGCTTGGCTGGTTTGATCCATCCATGCTGGGTTCCTGTATCTTGACGCAAAGTGGGTCACTGAAGCATCAGAACAAGGTTCTGATATGCTTTCCTTTCGTGTTCCCATGAGTGGTGCTTTGTGACGTACTCCTTTGCCTTCATTACAATCTCTTTGTGAAGAAATGGGTCGCCGAGCAGGCTTTTAGACAGCTGGACAAACTCCTGAAAAGGTGAGAAATAGCTGTTGTTATTATCCCACTGCCAATATCCAAAAGGACCCAAAGGAGATCACCAATAGTCAGCATGGATTTCTGAAAAATAAGCCATGTCAGACTAACCTGATCTCGTTTTTTGACAGAATTACAAGCCTGGTAGATGAAGGGAACGCAGTGGATGTAGCCTACCTTGATTTCAGCAAGGCATTTGACAAGGTGCCCCATGATATTCTTGTAAAGAAGCTGGTAAAATGCGGTCTTGACTATGCTACCACTCAGTGGATTTGTAACTGGCTGACTGACCAAACCCAAAGGGTGCTCATCAATGGTTCCTCTTCATCCTGAAGAAGAGTGACTAGTGGGGTGCCACAGGGTTCTGTCTTGGACCCGGTCTTATTCAACATCTTTATCAACGATTTGGATGATGGACTCAAGGGCATCCTGATCAAATTTGCAGATGACACCAAACTGGGAGGGGTGGCTAACACCCCAGAGGACAGGATCACACTTCAAAATGACCTTGACAGATTAGAGAACTGGGCCAAAACAAACAAGATGAATTTTAACGGGAGAAATGTAAAGTATTGCACTTGGGCAAAAAAAATGAGAGGCACAAATACAAGATGGGTGACACCTGGCTAGAGAGCAGTACATGTGAAAAGGATCTAGGAGTCTTGGTTGACCACAAACTTGACATGAGCCAACAGTGTGACGCGGCAGCTAAAAAGCCAATGCAATTCTGGGCTGCATCAATAGGAGTATAGCATCTAGATCAAGGGAAGTAATAGTGCCACTGTATTCTGCTCTGGTCAGACCTCACCTGGATTACTGTGTCCAGTTCTGGGCACCACAGTTCAAGAAGGACACTGACAAACTGGAACGTGTCCAGAGGAGGGCAACCAAAATGGTCAAAGGCCTGGAAACGATGCCTATGAGGAACGGCTAAGGGAGCTGGGCATGTTTAGCCTGGAGAAGAGGAGGTTAAGGGGTGATATGATAGCCATGTTCAAATATATAAAAAGATGTCACATAGAGGAGGGAGAAAGGTTGTTTTCTGCTGCTCCAGAGAAGCGGACACGGAGCAATGGATCCAAACTACAAGAAAGAAGATTCCACCTAAACATTAGGAAGAACTTCCTGACAGTAAGAGCTGTTCGACAGTGGAATTTGCTGCCAAGGAGTGTGGTGGAGTCTCCTTCTTTGGAGGTCTTTAAGCAGAGGCTTGACAACCATATGTCAGGAGTGCTCTGATGGTGTTTCCTGCTTGGCAGGGGGTTGGACTCGATGGCCCTTGTGGTCTCTTCCAACTCTATGATTCTATGAGATTACACTTCGCAAGGGAACAGGAACAGCGGCCTTACAGATTGTCAGATCATCAAGCGCAGTATTGTCTACATGGACTGGCAAGTGGTCCTCCAGGATTGGAGGCCGTGGCGTTTCCAGACCTACCTGAAGATGCCATGGACCTAACCTGGAACCTCCTGCATGAAAAGCAGGTTTTCTGCCTCTGGTCTATGGAAGAGGGCAGGTTAAGGGGAAGGGCTTTCCAGGGGCTGCCTGCCATGGAACAGAGAGAAAAATGGGGGTTTAATGAATTCAACTCTTACCACTTTGAAGCTGGCTCAGTTCCAGCCATGTGGAAGCCTGAGCCCAACCTGGCTCCCTCGAGATGTTTTGGGCGACTGCTTCCAACAGCCTGATTGTGCTGGATGGGATTGTGTGAGTTGTGTCTAAAACGGGCACCAGGTTGGGGAAGGTTGGTCCAATGTGTCTATAAACACGCTTCTCTGTCCTCCATCCAAGCTAGGAAGAGGCATTATCACATTTTCTTCTAAGATGCCAACAGTAAAAAGAGAATGGAAGCACAATACGACCCAGCGATTGCAAAATTAACTGAATAGGTTAGATTGAGGAAGGAGGCAAACGCAGGGCCAATCTGAAAGATTAGGGTCTCCTTTTATGACATATACGGAGCAGAATTATCACATACAATAGCTTTAACATCTCTTGCAGGTGAGATAAAAGGTAGCAAATGCAGAAAGAATAGCACTGATGATTAAAATGTATTGGATACTTACAAAGAATGAAATCATAATAGGATGTGTTCTGCAAGAATAACAGTTTTCAGAACACATAATCTTTGCTTCCGTATGCTTTTGTGCAGAAAAAAATGACACACACATACATGCAAATGAATAAAACAACACATTCCAGGGAGGCAAAAAACAGTCAAGAAGGTGCAGTGCAGGCCGGTGAGGGGCGTGGCCCGGGGAGAATCCTGAGGGCCAGACAGAGAGCATGGAGGGCCACATATGGCCCAAGGACCTGAGGTTTGCCACCCCTGAAACAGAACTTGCTTTTCAAACTTTGGCAGGTTCTCCTTTCCAGCGAAGGTCAAGGGATGGTCTAAAACTCTTTCAGCGCGGAATCCTTCTTCCTCAAATAAAAAGGCAGGGCTGGTGGTCAGGGAGGATTCTGTTGTGGCTATCAATTGCACAATGGCCTCTCTCCACCAGTGTCACCCCCACAATAAACCTAGGGGAGGGTGGGGGAGATCAGGATCTGGCCCACCAGCTGGATCCAGTCTCTCCCCACATTTGGGGCATGCATATATGAAGGAGGTGTGAGACCAGTATCCAAAGTTGTTTAATGTTCAGGAACATTCGAGTATGGAGGCCACGAAGGACTAGCCAAACTTGCAGACTCAAGATCTATGGGCAATAAGCAACCTCTGCCTGAGATCAAGCCGTTCTGTCTCTCCAATGCACACCAGGGGTGCGGAGGTGAGTTCCACGTTGATACAAGTACCTTTTTCCCGGAAAAACCAATTGCATTTGTTAACAAAGAGATTCATTTGTGAAGACCGCGGGGAACAATGAACTCTCCAGGGAGAAAAAATGTTAGGCACAATCGTTTTATCGGAAGAGGGGGTGGAAGGAGGGTCAGGGGGTAAGGGACGCGCGACTGCCAAAGTCTAATGAAAACAGAGAATCTACCTTCCTCAGACTTGACTTAATAGTATGCATTAATCATAGGCACTCTGAACAAAAATGCATTTTACACTCTGCAGTTTTATTTAATCTGTTGGCGTTGGGATTTTTCTTTTCTTTGCGGAGCACGTTATTATTGCACTTAGCTGATTTTTGGAGGCCAAAATTTAATTTATAGAATCAACAGGATTAATACTCTCACACACCCCTCCTTTCCAAGCCTAATTAAGACCACCAGTTAATTGGGATATAGGGTGAAGCTTCAAAAGCATAGGTTGCGTGCGAAGGAGACATGCTGGGGACTTACAATCAAAGTGATAGTTGGGTTTTGCTGCTACCTGGGTGGCAGCTGCCTTTAGAATACTAAACGCTAACCAGATGGGAGCTGTGGAATATCAGAACATAGGAAGCTGCCTTATATACTGGACCTCTTGGACCGTTGTCTTGCAGTGGTAGTAGACTGGATGAGAGCCAACAGAAGCTCAATCCACATGAGACAGGCACTGTCAGTGAGTGGTTCCCTAGATGGATGGGATGTTGCCCGCTCTTGATGTGGTTGAACTACCTCTGAAGGAGCAGGTACATAGCTTGGGGGTACTTCTGAATCCATGCTTGAGTAGCCTCGGTGGCACAGAGTGTCTTCCTCATGTGCCTCCTCCACAAGAGATCTAGAGGGTGGAAACACAAGAACAGGCCTGTTCTGTGGTGGCTCCCCATTTGTGGAATGCTATGGTTTTCCCAGTAGTGATGTATGGAAGTGAGAGCTGGACCATAAAGAATGGCTGATGGCTGAAGAATTGATGCTTTTGAATTATGGTGCTGGACGAGACTCTGGAGAGTCTCATGGACTGCAAGAAGATCAAACCTCTCCATTCTGAAGGAAATCAGCCCTGAGTGCTCACTGGAAGGACAGATCCTGAAGCTGAGGCTCCAATACTTTGGCCACCTCATGAGAAGAGAAGACTCCCTGGAAAAGACCCTGATGCTGGGAAAGATGGAGGGCACAAGGAGAAGGGGACGACAGAGGACGAGATGGTTGGATAGTGTTCGCGAAGCTACCAGCATGAGTTTGACCAAACTGCGTGGAAGACAGGAGTGTGTGGCATGCTCTGGTCCATGGGGTCACGAAGATTCGGACATGATTAAACAGCAACAACTCCCCAGGGAGCTTCACCTGCGCCATTCTTATATATCTTTCAGTGACAGGCAAACAAATTGTTTGCTCTCTAACCAGGCCTTTAGCATTTAAATCTCTGTGGCCTTTTAGTTGTTTTTCATGCGTTTCAGTTTCCCTTTGGTTTTAATGTTTCTCTGTGTGGTTGCTCGTTTGTTGATTGGTTGGTTGCTGTGGGTTGCCTTCGACAAGATAAAGTGACTAACAAATTTAATATATCATCATCATCATCGGCCCATCCAGCCCAGTACTGTCTGCGCTGACCAATAGGGGCGCTCTAGGATTTCAGACAGGGGATCTTGCAAAGTCCTACCTGGAGATGGCGGGGGATGAACCTGGGGCCTTCTGCAGGCAAATAAGGTGTTCTACCTTGGAACCACAGCCCTTCCCCATTCTTTAGAATGTGATCCATCCTTCAGGCCCCTTTCAATGAAAAGGTATTGTCCAAGGTCTCCCCTGGAGACTTCCATCTCTTCCATCACCATTCTGAAGTAGCTGCTAGTACCCAGGTGCCTGGCAGGACCCCACTGGCAATAAACCTACCTTGCCCTTGCTGGAATTGGTACTGCTTTGACCTCCCCACAAATCTGTTTCCCTGGCTACAGGCTTATTTGCTGGCAGCGGCCAGGTTTTCAAAGCTGCCAGCCACCTGAGGTTTCCCCAAATACCCTGGAGTGTCTGATGTAGAACCTGCTCAGCGGTATTGTGGGAAACTGATTTGAGGATGTGGAACTCTCTTCCCCTAAAAGTAGGGAGGTAAGAAGGCATTAGAATCATAGAGTTGGAATAGACCACAAGGGCCATCGAGTCCAACCCCCTGCCAAGCAGGAAACACCATCAGAGCACTCCTGACATATGGTTGTCAAGCCTCTGCTTAAAGACCTCCAAAGAAGGAGACTCCACCACACTCCTTGGCAGCAAATTCCACTG